TCTGGGCAGTCAGCAATAGCAACGGCCTTGAAGGTCAGGCTGCTCCTTAGGCTCACACAGAAACTGAACTGTAAAGTATACCAAACACAAAATTTTTAACATGCAAACTCTAGTTCTGAGAGAAATATCAGGTTAGAGTAACAAGTTGGGTTTAACATCTACTGAATCAATATGGGTAGCTTTATATAGGTAGAGTGTGCTCATTACGTTTCTGTACCAATTTACAATCCCCCAGATCCCAAGGGGCTCCTTTTCTTAACCTCCTCAACAACACTTGCTGTTTGTTGGTTTATTGATAATACCCATCCTGACAGGTGTGAGGTAGTATCTCATTAGGTTTTGATTTGCATTTCCCTGATGATTAGTGATGTTGAGCATCATTTCATGTGTCTATTGGCTATCTGTATGTTTTCTCTAGGGAAATATCTACTCAGGTCCTCTGTGCATTTTTATTTTTGGCTTTTAATATAGATTTTATTTTTATTGTTGAGGGTACTGCAAATATCCCCCATCCTCCCTCCCCCCCTTAACCTCTTTCTGCCCATTTTAAAATCAGATTATTTTTTATAATGTTGAGCTGTATGAGTTCTTCATATATTTTGGATATAAATCCTCTATCAGATATACCATTTGTAAATATCTTCTCTCATTCAGTAGGTTGCCTTTTAGCTTTGTTGATGGTTTCCTTTGCTCTGCAAAGCTTTTTAATTTGATGTAGTCCCATTTGTTTATGTTTGCTCTGTTGTCTTTGCCCTAGGAGAAATATCCAGAAAAAGTCTTGCTAAGGCAAATGTCAGAGTTTATTGTCTATGCTTTCTTCTAGTTTTGTGGTTTCAGTCCTTATATTTAAGTCTCTAATCTATTGAGTTTATTTTTGTATATAATGGAAAGGGTGGAATTTCATTTTTTGGATTTTACTGTATAGTTTACCCAGCACCATTTTTGAAGACTGTCTTTATCCCATTTTATATTCTTGCCTCCTTTTTCATAGATTGACCATATAGGTATGGGTTTATTTCTGGGATCCGTATTCTAGCCCAATAATCTATGTGTCTGTTTGTATGCCAGTACCATGCTGTTTTGATTACTATAGCCTCTGTTTTAAAGTTTATTTTGTCTGATATAAGTATTGGCACTCCAGCTTTTGTTTCCATTTGCATTAAATATCTTTTTTCATCCTTTATTTTCAGTTTGTGTGTCTATCTGGAGTAGGTCTCTTCTAGGCAGCATATGTTCAAGTCTTGGTTTTTGTTTTGATGATTCAATCACCCTGTCTTTTGATTGGAACACTTAATCCATTTATATTTAAAGTGATTATTGATAGGTATGCAGTTATTGCCATTTCATACTTGTTTTCTAGTTGTTTTTATATTTCTTTTATTCCTTTTATATTCTCTTGCTATTTTCTCTTTTATGTTGATGACTTTTGCAGTGGTTCTCAACCTTCTGGCCCTTTACATACAGTTCCTCATGTTGTGACCCAACCATAAAATTATTCTTGTTGCTATTTCATAACTGTAATGTTGCTACTGTTATGAATCATAATGTAAATATCTGATATGCAGGATGGTCTTAGGCAACCCCTGTGAAAGGGTCGGTCGACCACCAAAGGGGTCGCAACCCACAGGCTGAGAACCGCTGTTCTATAGTGTTATGTTTAGATTCCTTTCTTTTTATTTATTTTATGTCTCTTAGAGATTTTTGGTTAGCATGTACTGTATATATATTTATAGCAGTATTTATAGCAGCTATAAATTATAGCAGTCTATTTAAGTTGATTTTCTCTTAAGATTGAACACATTCTAAAATCACTAGTTTTTACTCACCAACACACATTTATGTTTTTGTCACTTTCTTTTATCTCTTTCGTGTGTATCCCTTAATCTATTGTTGTAAGTACACATGCTCTTCCTACTTTTGTCTTTAACCTTTCTACCACTGCTTTTATTGTTTGCCTTTGTTGGTGAAAATTTTTTCTTTCTACATTTTCTTTTTTTTAATCTTTACTTTTCTACTTAAAGTCCCTTTAACATTCTTGTAAAACTGATTTAGTGGTGATGAACTCCTATAGTTTCTTTCTTGCCTGGGAAACTCTTGATCTCTCCTTTTATTCTAAATGATAGCCTTACTGGATAGAGCAATCTTGGTTATAAATTTTACCTTTCATCACTTTGAATATTTTGTGCCATTCCCTTTTGGCCTTCAATTTGTATGTTGGAAAGTCAGCTGATTGTCTTATGGGAGCTCCCTTGTCCATACTAGTTGCTTTTCTCTTGTTGCTTTTAAGATTCTCTCTAACTTTTGGCATTTTAATCATGTGTCTTAGTATGGACCTCTTTGGGTTCATCTTCTTTGGGACTCTGTGTACTTCCTGTACTTGTATCTTTTCTTTGTCAAGTGAGATAAGTTTTCAGTCATTATTTCTTCAAATAGGATTTCAATCCTTTTCCCTCTTCTCCTTCTGGGACCTCTATTATGTGAATGTTGTTACACCTGATGTTATCCGAGTTCCCTTAAATCAGGGGTCCTCAAACTATGGCCCGCAGGCCACATGCAAATACAAATATTGTATTTGTTCCGTTTTGTTTTTTTACTTCAAAATAAGATATGTGCAGTGCGCATAGGAATTTGTTCATAGTTTTTTTAAAAACTATAGTCTGGCCCTCCAACCGTCTGAGGGACAGTGAACTGGCTCCCTGTTTAAAAAGTTTGAGGACCCCTGCCTTAAATTACCCTCATTTTAAAAATTGTTTTTCACCCTGACTGGTTTGGCTCAGTGGATAGAGCGTCAGCCTGCGGACTCAAGGGTCCCAGGTTCAATTCGGGTCAAGGGCATGTACCTTGGTTGTGGGCACATCCCCAGTAGGGAGTGTGCAGGAGGCAGCTGATCAATGTTTCTCTCTCATTGATGTTTCTAACTCTCTATCCCTCTCCCTTCCTCTCTGTAAAAAATCAGTAAAATATATTTTAAAAAATAAAAAATTTTTCTTTTTGCTGTCCAATTGCATGTGTTCTGCTACCTTGTCTTCCTCTGCTTCATCTAGTGTACCGTATATTCTTCATTTCAGTAATTATATTCTTCAGTTCTGAGTCGTTCTTTTTTGTTTTCTATCTCATTTTATGTTTTCTATCTCTTTGTTGAGGTTCTCAGAATTCATCTATTCTCCCATAGGGCAAGGAGCATTCTTTTAACCAGTGTTTTGAATGCTTTTGGTTGACTTCCTGTGTCTCTCTACATTAGGTAGATCTGCTACATCTCCAAGTCTTGAGAGAGGAGTATGGATGTATGCTGTAGGGCTCAGTGGCAGTCTTCCAGGTCACCTGAGCTGGGTGCTCGAGGGGTGTCTCATGTAGGTTGTGTTGGGCCTCCTGTTGTGATTGGGCTTTAACTGCTGCTGCTGGCACATCAGTGGGTGGGGTTGACCCTCACGCAGACTGGCTGTGAAAGCTGGCTGTGACTACAGTGGACCAGCTGTTGTGCAGGGGCTGTCCCCATGGAGGATTCATTGTGTTGGAGCTTCTGACGCCAGCCAAAACTGTCTTTCAGCATGTCAGTTGTGGAACTGGTTGGATGGGGCTCTGGTACAGTCTGGATCTTGGGAGGGCAAAGTCAGCTACCACTTATGCCAGACTTGGGGAGTTGCTTGGTATAAGCAACACAGTTATTCCACTTATTTTAGGCTTGGAGGTGCTTGAGAGAAGCTATGCTAAGAACCAAGGCCAGGTGCCACTTGTGCCAACCTTCAGATTCTTTGGTGGGCATTGTGATGTGAGATGAGGCCAGCTGCTTGCTTGGCTTTTGGTTGCTTAGTTGGAGATATGTTACAGGCAGGTTGGCCACCACTTATGCCAGGTTTTGGGTCAATTGTTGGGAGTTACTGTATAAGCTGAGACTGGTCACCACTTGTGCTGGGCTTGGGGCCCCTTGCCAGGAGCTACAGTGCACGCTGAGGTCGGCCGCTGCTCGAATAGGGTTTGTGGGCCTTTGGGAAAGTCTCACACAAGTCTCGGAAGGGCATCTGCCACATGTGTGGGGCTTGTAGACATTTGAGAAAATCTGCAACACAAGACTAGAGCACTCTGTGAGGTTTGCAGATTTTCGGGAAAGTCCACAGCACAAGCTGGGGTGAGCTGCTTTTGTGGAGTAGCCACTGGAAAAGGCTTGGGCCAGGCAAGCAGTTGGAGAGAACAAGGTCTCAGGGAATCACCAGCGAAGGGTGAACAGTATGATTCAAGTTAGTGGAGAGCACAGATTTGGTGTCCACCTGTACCTGGCCAGCTGGGTGGGAGAGCTCAACAAAGGAATAGCACCTACCAGTACTTCTAACCTCCCAATCCCCACCCTCCGGCCACTGGCCTGAAGTATGTCCATTTACTTCCTCCCCGTACCTCCCCGGCACTTTTCAAGCTGCTGCCCCTGCACCGGTGCTTTGAGGAAGTGTTTGTGAGCAAGTGAGTCTATGCGTGTGCACTGTGAGAGCAGCACCTCCTTCTCTAGCAACTCTTTTTCTTGGACAGAGCCCCCGCTGATTTTCACAGCCAGAAATTATGGGGACTTCTCCTCTGGCTCTGGTGCTCTGGGTGGGGGTAGCTGGTGTGGGAGCGGGCCCTGGCTCCTCAGAGGGACCTCTGCAGTAGAGGCACCCCTCCTGTTCCTTAGTCGGCACAGTGTGACGGGAACTCCCCAGTCCCCACCTCCATGCCCACTACCAGTCTCAATGTGGTGCTTCCTTACAGCCTCAGTTAGAGGACTTCCGTTCAGCTAGTCTTCAAGGGGTTGTTAGTAATGACAGTTCTATAATTTAATTGTAATTTTGATCAGGGGAGGAGGCAATCGCAGAGTTTACCTACTCTGCCATCTTGACCAGAAGTCTTATTTTTTAATTTATCAGCAGTTTCACAATTCTAGGCTGCTTAGTGCAGATGAAAGGCTATTTCATTTTCTCCCAAAATAATTTTGGAACCTTTATTCTCAAATAATCTCCTGTTTTCAAACCTAGTACAGCTGACTTGCTACCCGTCGCCATGTGGAGAGCAGAAAAGACCTTCCCGATGCTGCTCCTCGTGGCGGCCGAGAGACTCAGGAAAAGGACCTTGCAGTGAGGAGCTGGCCGACCAGAGCCTATGTCCCCACATAAACAGCTCAGAAAGTGTCTGGAGAGGCAGGGCACACAGTGGGAATAACGCGTTACAGAGGACCAGAGAGGCAGGGCTTCCTCCACACACCCCGCGGTCCCACTGCCAGCCCTGGCCACACGCTGTGCCATCTGACTCATTACTGCACTTCTGTTTGCTCATTAGGCCACTTACCTCTCAGAGATACAGTACCTGGCATGACTGAATTCAACTAACAGTACTTTCAAAGCCAACATCACACACTACCTGCCTGACAAGCTCAAACCAGTGACACTGCAATCCTGCCATTTCCTCTGTGACAAGCATGCCAGCAGAGACAGGGCAGGGTCTGGAGGCGCCGGTCTCTGAGGGTCTGAGACCTCAGCAGCTGCTACTTCCAGCGCCAGGAGGTCTGGGCATAACAAGCCTCTCCCTGCTCAGCCCCCACCTTCCATTCCAAGGCTGAAAGGCACAGGTCAAGACAAAGGAAGAACTAATAAGAAAGAGACCAAGGATAAACCAAATGACCAGAGTCTCCAGGGAAATTAAATAATCACTCTTTATTGAAAATAAATAAGCCCTCTTACTTACAGGAAAATAGGAAAGTAAACTTTTTGCCTCCTGGCCTCTGAGACAGAAACCACATTCAGAACATGTTCATTTACAAAAGAAAGATTTGTAGATTATCAAAACTGAAATTTAGGAATTTCAATATACATTGTTTCTCTGAAAAATAACAACTAAAATTAGAAATAATTCATGTCAAAGGTCACAGGTTAAAAAACCGATTTTTCTTGAGGCTCATTTTAGCAAACCCTCCAGGTCTCCCCAGATCTTCCCACTGAAAGGCCACATCCCGAGAAGGACCCTCCCTGCCTCCTGCTCTGACGCGGGCTCCCCGCAGGGGCAGGGCTGGGCCCTCACCGTGCCTGGGAGGACAGCAGCCACACTGCTCCCGTTTCCACAGACGAATGACCTGGCTTAGCAATCCGCTCTGGAGCAGCAGAGGGCTCGGCACCTTCCCCAGGGTCTTCCGGATTCACAGTACTCAGAGGGCTTCCAGAAAGGCTCCGTCAGCAAGCCCAATGCCCGCCACAGGACCTGCAGCCTTGGTGCCACAAAGGCCGCTTCCCACGCCCTCTACGCTGCCAACGTCCCAATTAAACAGCGTTACAAATACATTAGGCCAGTGAAAAGCTAAGAAGAGGGCCACAAAGTTGTTCAAACCTCCCCTCCTTACCCCAAATACAAACACACAAAAGAACCCTTCTTATAAATTCAAGTTCATCATCTGAGAGGTTGAAGCCTCTAGTGATTCTTCTAGCTCCAGGGCACACTGACTGTACGCTTCCAGATGTTTTCTCCAGATTTCAACTGGAAGAAGAGAGTGGCACAGCTGAAGAACAGCAGGGACAGTCGGGAAAGTCTCTACTAGAGAGCATGCTGCTCAGCGGCTCAGTCCCCTGCACAGGCCAGCATGGGCTCAACCCCATCTCCCACGCACCCCCCGCCCCGAGTGAGCAGCATCAGTCAGCCTGGGTGCTGGCTGACCTTGACCACCTCCTGCCGAGGGTACAGCTATCCTTGCAGCCACCTTGTCCAGGGGCTGTCTGACCAGAGGTCTGTTTGAGACACTCATTGACAAGTCCTTGCAAATTCGGGTCTGAGAACACCTCTCAGACAATGGCCAGACTTAACCGGGCCTTCCTCAGCCAGGGCCCAGCACCGGGACTTTTGAATCAAAGTCCAGGAAGACTTGAAGGACACTTGGCCCAGACTCGGACCCTCCCCAGCACTCACTGTAGTGTGGCTCTTCTGTTGTGGGAGAAGCTGGGGGGCCGCCTTCTGCGGAGCTGCTGGGACCCTGTGCAGGCTCCTGGCGCGTGGTCTCGAGCATCGTCTTGTACGCCTCCCGCGCCGCCATCGTCAGCTCAACCATCTTGTGGAACTGGTCCTTGGACAGAGTGAGGGCACAGATGATGCCCGACCACAGAAAAAATGGGTCTCCTGCAAACCCTCCGCAGAGAAGGGTGCCACCCGCCGAGGGTGCCACCCCGAGAGAACAGGGCGCCTGAGGCACCTGCGTGGCAGCAGTGAGCCCAGAGCAGAACTTGGAATCACACTTCCGTCCGTGCTCTTAAGGAAACATGCCACTGAGGCTGAGGGGCCGCTGGGCTCTGTCTGGGAGCACGCCGTGTCCGCCTCCCCCCAGGCGCAGCCTGCTCCCGCTCACCTGGGCCCCATCGTAGCTGAAGATGCCCACCACACTGACAGGAACAGCTTTGTTCAAACTGCGCCCCAGAGCCTTGCGGTTGAGAGCGAACACAAAGGGAATGTTCTGTTCACAGGCGTAAGCGATGATGGTGTGCAGGGTGTCGTCCAATCCACCTGTCCGAGGGAGGGCCCGGGAATGACAGGAGAGGCGTCACATGGGCTGGAGGGGACACTGGTCACAAGGGCTTTTGACACACACAGCAACACGGCCAGCTCCCTCTGACTCGCCAGCCACAGGGAAGAAATCTCTCTCCAAAGACCACTCCTTCGTGGAATGGATGGGTCTATGCTGAGCCAACAGCTGCGTGACACCTAACAGTCTTGGCAAACATCACTGAGCACTGAGCACGGCTGGGCCACCGCTCTACCTGCCTCCCCTGTGGGAGCTGCCGCATCCTCACAAACACACAAGAGGGGAGGCTACGCCCCGCGCCGAGGGGAGCCAGCAGCAGAGAGGCCCCTGGCACCCATCCCACATCACCTCCCCCCAGCCTGAGCACACACGGGCCTGGCTCCCAGCGAGGCGCCAGCCAGGCCGCTGCACAGGCCGCGCGGGGAGAGGCAGCGCGAGCTTCAGCGGAAGGTGAGGAGCTCCGTGCGGGGTGTGCCTGCCAAGCCGGAAACCGGCAGCGGTTACCACCACCAGAGCATTACACACGGAGCCAGCCGGGACGCACAGTGGAGAAACGGCTCCACTCCGACAGCAGCCAAAGGTGAGCACAGGCAGGAACCGACGCATCGGCAGACCCACAGAGCAACCTCCACCGGCTAAAAACACCACAGAAAACTTTAAGCGAGACATCTCTGCTCCCGGGCAGGGGGATCCAAAATTACACATGTCCACTCCACCAGGTGTACCGGTTAATAATGCGGGTTTTGTGATCAAAGAAAACACGATAATTTCAAGAGAAACATCTAAAGTGCATTATTCAAAGTACAGTAGTTGTGTTACGTCGGACTCAACATACGTCGTTTCGTGGTTATGTCACCATCTCCCATTTATTTATAAAAAAGTTCTGTCATTTCGACGTATGTACATATGTGCTTTATGTTTTTTCCTATTTACTTACCACAAGTAAAGGTCGGGAATTGTTATCTTTCTTTTACTGTTTCACTTCATTACTGCTATGTATGTGCTCCATCTGAGTGACATAGGTGCTTATGTAGGTGGGTTCTGACTTACGGCGAAAATTGCATTATGTCGCGCCGTAGGAAGGATCTCCGACGTAACCCAAGGACCTACTGTAATGTCCATCGCTAGCTACACATTTCCCCATCTTTCAGGTAATTTGTGGATACCGTCCCAATAGAACTTTTCATGTTTTGAGGCAAACCATTCAGAGACCCAATTTTCCACTTCTTCGTACCTTTTGAAGTGCTGCTCAGAAAGTGCGTGTGCCATCGATCGGAACAAGTGGGAATCTGAAGGAGCAAGGTCTGGTGAATACGGCGGGTGGGTTAATACTTCCCAGGCAAGATCTTTTAACGTGTCTTTAACTGGTTTTGAAGTGTGTGATGGTGTGTTATCATGAAGCAAAATTACTTTGCCATGTTTTCTGGCACATTCTGGTCATTTCACGATCAAAGGTGGTTTAAATTGATTATTTGTTGTTGGTAGCGATCAGTATTAATGGTTTCACCTGGTTTTAGAAGCTCATAATCCACCACACCTTCCTGACCCCACCAAACGCAGATCACTGTCTTCTTTCCGAAGTGATTTGGCCTTGCAGTCGATGTTGATGGTTGACCTGGATCAACCCATGATTTTGTATGTTTGAGGTTCTCAAAATAAATCCACTTTTCATCGCCAGTCACAATTCGATGCAAAAAAGACTTTCTTTTCTTCCATTGAAGCAACATTTTACTGATGACTTTCTGGTTTTCCATTTGTCTTTCGTTCAGTTGATGTGGCACATATTTTCCTCCTTTTAAAATCTTTCCCATTGCTTATAAATGATCGGAAATTGTTTGCTGAGCAACGTTTAATCTTTCTGCAAGTTGGTTTTGAGTTTGACATGCATCTTCATCCAATAATGCTTGTAATTGTTGGTCTTCAAACTTTTTCGGTTGACCTGGACGTTCTTTGTCTTTCATATTGAAATCATCACTTTTAAAGGGTTTAAACCAGCGTTCACAAGTATCTTGAGATGGAGCCTGTTCACCAGAAGCTTCCCAAAGTATTCAGCAGCACTTTTCTTCAAAATAAGTAATGAATTAAAACTTCCCACAAATGCTCTTTTTTTTGGAACGAAAATCAACATTTTTAAGTGTAAAAATATCTATGATGTTAACACCTTCAGCAAATTTGACATATGAAATTTTAAAGCTTGTTGTCAGTATCGCAAAATAGCATACATATCAAATCGCATATATATCAACATATGTGTAACTCCATCTAGTGAAAAAAAAACCCCACATTATTAACAGATGCACCTGGTACATTGGCCTAAAGCTCTGAAACACCATGACTTACTACAAATAGGATTTTTTAAGAATAAAAATATGAAAAAAATATGAATAAAAAATTTAAGAATAAAAAGAATAATTTAAGAATAAAAAATATGAAAAAAATACACAAGTAAAAAGAGCATTTTGAAAAAGGAAATATGTTTTGAAAAAGCATCCCAGGCACTGAAAGCGTGCTCTGAGGCTACAGGAGCGTGAACACGGGAGCAGAGGTAGAAGAGAAGAGGGCCCAGAAATGGCCCGAAGAAGCAGGGTGAGCCGTGCAGAAGGGACCACTGATCAGCCTCTGGGAAGAGCCGTCTGAGACTGAAATACATGCTACACAGACCGAATGAAACATGGAGAACAGGGAGAAACAGAGTGTAAACATGTTCATTACCTCGGAGGCGAAGGTTGAGGACTGACATAAAATCTCGATGTGATAAAAACATAGGAATAAAAACTACTGACACACAAGCATACTGCCTGCATGGTCAGAAAAAGGTGGAGAAAAAACAGGCTACTGACAAACCAGAAAAACATATACCACTCTCAACCAAAGGGCCAACTTCTTGTTACACAAAAAGGTACTATCTATACAACACAGATCACAGAAAGTGCCCTGCTCTTAACCAAGTGAGGGCGGGGAGCCAGGAGGGGCAGGCCTAGCCGGTGGGGCCACTGTGACACATGCCCATGCCCTTCTATTCTTCAGCTGGAACCTACGGAGATGGGCACACAAAAAAGCGGTGTGTGAGGCACTGACAGGTGTGAAGCCTGCACACCAGTGTGCCCTCTGCAGGAGGCCACATCTCTCCCTCTCTCTCTCTCTCTGTCACACACACACACACACACACACACAGTGCCCACAGCACACACACACACACACACACACACACACACAGCGCTCACACACACAGCACCTACAGCACTCACACACACACACAGCGCCCACAGCACTCACACACACACAGCGCTCATACACATACAGCACCCACAGCGCTCACACACACACACACACACACACACACAGCGCTCATACACATACAGCACCCACAGCGCTCACACACACACACACACACACACACAGCGCTCATACATACGTGTGGACTATTGATGACACATACCAGTATGGCAGCAGTGGCTGACTGAGGAGCTAGAGGGATTTGGGGGGTTTGCTCCTCAAAAGAAAGTAATGAAATGACGAGCCCGCCCGCACTAGGGAGCTGTTCTCAGCCAGCACCTGGAAGGGGCACGGCACAGTCGCAGTGCTCTTTGCTCTGCACAGACCCGCTCCCGGACAGGGAGAGGTTCCCGGCACCTTGTACCCCGGAACTAAGTACATGATTTCTGAATATCCTTTCGAGAGAGGAACTTCCCCAGTGCACATGCCCCACTAGGTGGGAATTGGAAACTCATTCTGCCTGGTGTGCCTGGGCAGGAACTTTCAAGCCCCACCTCCTTTATTCGCCCACCTCTACTCCACATCTCCCAGAAGAGCATGAGAGGTGATGAGGACGCAACCCCTGAGGACATAAACTTCCAAGGAACACACCAGTTCCAGGCGGGCTGGGAAGAGGGGAAGCGGGCAGAGGTGGGGTGACGGGTATGGTCCTGAGATATAATTACAACTCGTCACCGGAGACTGACGCCTAAATATCGCTGAGTCGTCTCTCCCTCTAGGGGTCTCTGCCTCTTGTCCACCCCAGCCCTGGGGTTGACACAAACGCTACGTGAGCGGTGTGCTAACCAGCGGCCCACTGCTGCTGTCCTCAGGAAGACCGGCTTGTGTGGCTGGACCCTGGCTGGCAAGAGAGCTGGGTTTAGAGAGGGCTCCTATCTGACCAGAGTGCCTACTGGGCCTCTGCTGCTTGAGGAACTGAGCTTTGTGCTGAGAGAGAATCCCTGATTGGCTGCCTCCTGCAGCACGCCCCACACTGGGCATCGAGCCTGACTCCTAGTTCATAGGTCAACGCTCAATCACTGAGCACACTAGCCCGGCAAATCCAGACTTTTAATGAGCAAGTGGGCACAGGGGTCAGTCACGGACCAAACCAGGAAATTTAAAATAGACAAGAGCCCGGTGCCTGGCAGCCAGTCACCAAACTGGTGTGAGTGGCCAGTGACACCCCCCCAACCCCCACCCGCAAGCTCCAGAGCAAACCTTTCCTGCTGCCAGAGGCCTGCAGGGCGGCCAGACCAACCAGGAAGACCACAGGCCTGGCTGCCGCAGGGTAAGGCCCGTGGTGGGCAAATAAGCCCTGCAAACAAATGCCCCAAGCTAAAGGAAAGGAGGCCGACCACACGGCCCACGCTCACTGCCGACTGGCGCGGGGCCAGGCCCAGGCCCAGGACAGGCACCCTACCTTTCGACTGTATCTTCTCACAGTTGGGAGAGATGATGACGCACTTCAGCTTCCGGAGCTTCAGATGTTTGAGCACCTCCCGCAGCCCCAGCACCAGCCGGCGTTTGGTCTTGGCCTTGACGGGGTCTTTCTGGTACATACGGTCTTGGAAACGGACCAGCTCTTTCAGCAGCTCCGAAACACAGGCGTCAACCTCTTTACTGAGCACCTGGCTGCAGTAACTGGAAGAAACAGTCCATGCCATCAGCTTGCAGAGGCTGTGACACTGCAGCGCTGCCCATCGCATGCCCCCCGGCAAGTCCCTCAGACGAGCAGTACTAATTGAAAGCAGGTTCCTGACTGGGTTTAAATAAAGCATCGAATCACCCTCCCCCACTGCCACCTACAAGGGAGAACCTCTGCCCCCCCCTCCCCACCCCACACACACACCACAGCATGCCAAGCATCCCCTCACTGTGGCCATTCCCTGTGCACCTCTCCTGAAAACACCCGGACAGTCTGTCCTGGAAAAAGAGTGGGTGGGGAGCAGAGCTCCCTAAAAAATTATGCAGAGAAATGAAACCACAAAAGGGAATCCAATCCCAGGCAGTGCTGCTCCATGGTTAAACATCATTCCAGGAGCCAGGAGGTCATGGTTCGATTCCTGGTCAGGGCACATGCCTGGATTGTGAGCACATGTCTGGATTGTGGGCTCGATCCCCAGTGGGGGGAGTGCTAGAAGCAGCTGATCAATGATTCTCTTTCATCACTGATGTTTCTCTCCCTCTCCCTTCCTCTCTCTAAAATAAATAAAAATACATTCTTTTTTTAAAAAGGAAACCCAAGCGCTAGCCAGTTTGGCTCGATGGATAGAGCGTCGGCCTGTGGACTGAAGGGTCCCAGGTTCGATTCCAGTCGGAGGCACATGCCTGGGTTGCGGGCTCCAACCCCAGTCTGGGGGGGAGGCGGGGTGCTTGCAGGAGGCAGCCAATCAACGATTCTCTCTCATCATTGATGTTTCTATCTCTCTCTCCCTCTTCCTTCCTCTCTGAAATCAATAAAAATATATTTAAAAAAGAAAAAAAGAAGGAAACCCAAATGTCATGCATGGTCGCTCACTAACCATTGCCCCAACAGAAAACCTGGATTTATGGGCACACCTGCCATCACATCAGGAGGACGAGAGCCCTTGTAGAGGCAGGTTCAGCAGCCCTGGCGTGTGGCATGACTAGGTACCTGGCC